CTGGGATTAAAGTTCGTAACAGTCCTTTATCTGGCTCAGCACTTTATCCCCAACACCTACCTGGGAGCCTGGCACATAAGAAGGCTCTCAGCACATGATTACTGAATCCAAGTGAGCCAAGCCTTCCTTCTTTGCAGCTGGTTTGCCTAAGTCATTGCTCAGGCACCAGCAGGCCCTCTCATCCCTGAGCACTATGCAGACTGGTTTGTTCCTCCACTCCTACCCCACTGATCCTCCTCCTGAACCACAGAGGTCTCTGTGTTGAAGGGGTTGCTTTGAAAAGGGATTTCAGTTCTTCTGTCTCATCTCTCATGCACATGAAGTCTATATATGTATGGGTTTGTCTGCATTTGCTCTTGAGAAGGGAGTGAAATAGAGGGGTAGATATTTTTCCTTTGCTTATACCTAGTGTTGTGGTGTAAAATAATGATCTATGTTGAATATTGGTCTTAGCAAGAATGATGATTAGATTTATTTTCAAGGATATTCAACACAATGTGTGTGTGTTGTTGCGGGGGTGTGCATAAGAAAGGGGACTTGTTCCAACATAATAAGTATTTTTAATATAATTTGGTCAATTTTTAGTTTATGTAAGGAATATTTATCTTTGAGGAGAGACAGTCGGGATGGCCCTGGGAGCTCCTCTCCTAGCAGAGCTGGCTCAGGGGTCTGTGTTAGCCCATCAGAGGACGTAGGGCAAGTCCCCGATTGCCCCTTTCATTTTTGTTTCTAACAAAGCCACTTTCTGAACCAAGGAGCCTTCATTATATCCTAGTGATATCCCCTGTCCCCGGCCAATATAGAGAGTATTACAGGGTGGTGTGTGTGCAGTCCTTAGTGAAGGGATGAGTTGAAGGAATTGTGTATGCTCAACTTCTCTGGAGGTCTTTCTCCAACAAACCTTATTTCAGGTATACACTGTGGCTGTCATAGAAATTCACATACAACCTACCCACCATACAGGGGAGCAGTCAGGTTGAGCAGCTGTAGAAGTTAACCTAATTTGCGGGCTATTTATCATATTTAAAATTATTTCTCTGTGTTATATGAATTATTTAATCAAATCTATGCCAGAGAGAATAAAGAAAGGTAAATTCTCAGGTATTAATGGCTCTAGGCATTATGCCACCTCATTTTGGATGTTACTATGAAGTAATCTATTAATTGCACCTAGACAAAACTAGAAAACACTATGGGTAAAGAGTACTATAAACATGTAATTGTGGTGTATGATGTATATATTTTCTTGTTTTGTTCCAAAAGATGAAAGTGTGTCTTTGAAGTGTAGCAGCAAATGTAGCTTCTCTTTTCTGCCACACACCCCTGGACTGAAGTTCACAGAAAATAATTATTCACATCAAATGAAATTTGAGTATTAGCTATAAAGAATATAGAACACCAAATGCTGCCTAACACATTATTGTTTATTCTGAGTAGGAAGGAACAATATAAAAATATACTTCTTACCAAAATTTGCCTTCAGTCAGAACATTCAAGTTCTCAGGGAACCAGGCATAACTGATGAATCTTTCTTCTAGGACTTCAGAAAACAGATTCTGATTTTATCCAGGTTTATTTAGTTATTTTCATTTTTTAAATGTGAGTTGATGGTTACTTTAGTGTTTTACAATAAAATTGTCACATGTACTGATTCCAGTGTTGGGTAGAATTATCTAAACTTTTGGATGTGAATGTGATACATGGAGAAGTGTGTAAATGTTTTTGGCCACATCATGAGCCATAATCTGTATGAAAAATCCCCCCCCCCCATATATGAAAAATTAAAAAAAAAAAAAAAAAATGAGGTTTGCTACCATTTAACTGACAAACTAGAACCTGTCCGTGGCTAGTGACTGGTTGAGTTCAACTGCAGAAGTCATCTGCTAAATCTTCCTTATCACCAACATCAGTTTCTGGAAGCAATTTACTAGCAGGATCAATAATGAATATTGTGAAGATTGTGAGCTGCTTTCCTTATATTCAGTTACTGGTGCAAACTGTGTTGCTCTTACTGCCATAGTTTAGTTTTTTTTTTGGTTTTGGTTTTTTGGTTTTTCGGCTTTTTTCCCATTTAAATCATATACACCAGTGTTTAGGTAGCTTTTGAAACAATGTAACACTGATGTGATGCACAAGGAGACTGACGTACAGAAATGTGGTGTTAATACCACCTTCACTGCACTGTTGAGCAAATATTTATTTTACAAGTGTTCATATTCATTTAAGGGAATTTTAAATGAAAATGATTTAAATTATTCTTATGAGACTTTAGTTGGCATCTGATTTCCAAGAATGTATATGCATTTTCCAAAAAATAAATATGGAGGTTTTCAGAACAAAGATTATGGCTTATTTCAGAACAAAGTTTATGGCTTGGTTCATTTTATTTGCACACACACAAAGACACAGATAGACACAGACACACATAGAGATGCACATACCCCATGTGTGCAAATTGTAACTTAGTTTTTGATACTTTTTCCAAATTTTTTAGTATTTTTTCCAAGATTGCAAGAGGTTATAGGTTAATACTAGGATAGCAACTTTTTAAATTCATCATTTGTAATCATTGAATGTTCTTTTCCTAACCTGTGTTAGGGTACATCTGTGTGAAACATAGATACCATATTTTCATTCCTCACCTTCAGTGTTATATTTTTCCCTGTATGCCATTATACTTCACTGTCAGACTTAAACATTTACATTAAACAGGTTAAGTAGAGATCCTCAGGGTCTCAGTGCTGTGGCCTAGCTCCTACAGGTGTGCTGTGGTGTGTGGCAGTGACCTATTTGCATAATGTTATTGTTTCATAGTGAAAATACTTGTTTCTGCTCTTCAAGTGTTTTGTGATTCAAATTTTATATGTTTAATTAAAATATTGCATAATATTGATGGGTTCAGAAACCATTAAAATAATCAAACAATTATTCTGTGGACTTAACATGATTTCTTTGTTTTCAATAAAATTTTCTTTTCATCTTTCCACCTTACCATCCTCTTAGCATTGTCCTATTCACATAAGGCATTTTGTTTTCCTTCTCCACTCACCCACTCCATTAAATTTGATCAGCACTTGTGTAGTAACAGAGTATATTTGTGCTAGAAAATTTGCAGTGATACATGAGCATGTTTTTATTTGGGGGGAAGCCAGTGCCTATAATTATGCCTAACTGAGTGGTTCTACTCTATCCATCCTTGCAGTGTTTAGAGCTGATCCTATGATCCTTCATCCCTACCAAAAGTATGAGAATATAACTGTAGGTCTCCTTTGTTTTCAGTAATTGTACATTGCATCAGAATCTGTGTTTATTTCTATCTGGAAACAAGAGGAAGATTGGTGGGAATGGGGAAGAGTTATTTTGTATCCTGGTTTGTTATGAAGACATTATATATATGAAATGGGATAAACTAATAACTGTTGCAAAATGCCCTAGATATAATTATTTCTTTTCTTCAGCTGGATGTGAAAAGCTGAAGCAGTGAAAAAACTGCAGTCCCATTTAATTGGTTTCTTCCTGTTTCTTGTCCGTCACTTCTATATCCACTGGGAGCTATCTGCTAATTACCTTTGGTAATGGATTACATTTTCTTCCACTTCTCTTATATGAACAATTTCATTAACACTGAAGTATTAGCATAGAATATAAGAGACAAAGTACTGAGCTGAGATGGCATCTAGTTGAACATCATTTCATATTTAAGTTTTTCATTTGACTTGTATAAAACACTACTGCTGAGAAAAACAATTATGAATGCCTTCTGCATGCTGTACATTTTCTCTAACAGAGATGGTACAATTTTTAAAATACAAAGGGTTATAGAGTTAGAATGGATGTGTTTGTGCATATATATGTTGTGTATAAGCCTAAATATTAACATTTATGAGAAGCTTTTAAAAATTCTTCAAATGTTTTGATCTCAGTGAAATAATGGGCCAATACTCAGTAGAGACATTTTCTTTTGTTACCTCACAGTGAAGGCTGGTGTTTGTTATTTTATCTTTGTTAAATATATTTAACAAGAAATACATATTGTCAATTTTTGCTACTGGCAATGCATTATTAGAAAATGTAAGTTTTTGGTTGTGGCCCTCAGGTTTACCATGTAAATCTGCATTTTGGTGGTAAATCCCTTTGCCTCAGATTCAGTAACTTTTGGTAAACTTTACTGTTTTTTTGTGTAAAATAAAGATTAAATTTTTATAATAAATGATGAATAAAAACAGATTAAATGCTGGAAGTTGACTGTACTAATTTTTACCTGTGTTCACTCAACAGTGCCCAGGTTCCAAAAGTACTTCCCTTCCTCTCCCCATGCGACCTTGTGCCATTGTGCTATTAGGTTATTAACAAATGACAGATTTTAGATTTACATGTGAATCTCATAACAGTAGTATGAGTTTTCAAAAAATGCTACAATGGTCACAAAAAAGCACCTGAAAAGAGCTGGATTGATCCTAGAATACACTGCGAGGTTTGGGGAGCGAGGGGAATTTGTCATGAGGAGCGCATCTGTCCAATAGTGTTCCTCGGAATTATTCAGGGACAAAAGTTCACAAACCAAGCGAGGTTTGGGGAGCGAGGGGAATTTGTCATGAGGAGCGCATCTGTCCAATAGTGTTCCTCCTCGGAATTATTCAGGGACAAAAGTTCACAAACCAACTCATCTCTCACCCTCCCACCTTCTTGGCACCTGTTTCTTCATTTACCGTTAGTTTAACACTAACACTGAGTTGTGGAACAGATAGAACTAAAGAACTGACAGGAAATTCTGAGAAGGTTTAGTAAAGGGAGAAAAAATTGAATTATGGGTACAATATGCAAATAATAGTTTGACATTTTGGATCTATCTCACTCTCCCTCACCTCACCTCCCTCCCTCCCTCCCTCTCTCTCTCTCTCTCTCTCTCTCTCACACACACACACACACACACACACACACACACACACACACACACACACACGGTTTCAGGGCCACATTAGAAAGCGGATACCCAGAACTTTTCTGTGCTAGAATTTATATACATATACATTGAACCAGATTATGAAGGAAAGTAGTTGTTCTCTGGCCATATTGTTGCCTGAAAATGAGAGAAGAAAGGTTTTACCCCATCTCTAAGTGCCTTAGGAATGGGAAGTATATTGAGGAAATGAAGCAAGCACCTGCCTTAAGGCATTAGCAGCCTTTCAGAAACCGGTAGGTGCTTTGAGATGCTTGAGTCCTGGGCAGGACAGTGACCTTCATGTACTTCAACATTCACTTCCATATTTCAGAACGGCTTTTCCAAAATATGTTGAGGGCTTGACTGTGGACGAGAGAAGCCACGCGAGTGCTGTGGAAAGCAGGGTTTCATTCTCTGGAGCTGCAGCTTTTCTTCTGGTTTCTGCTTCCTTCTCCTCTGGACACTGTCCCCACCTGGTGTTTGCTGTCCCTCTCATCTCTGAGGTCTAGAGAAAAGAAGTTTATCCAAAGGGTGTGAAGCCAGACCTAGAACTCAAGTCCCATATTTACATAAGAACATAGGTACGTGCCAAAGAAGGATCGAAAAAAGTCATTTTTTAATGTGTGTAGTCTTTTAAAAATACAAATCTCTCTCTTTGCCCTATGGTTGTCTTATCTTCCTGCAGACTCGAGTTATATGTCTTCTTGCCTCTTAAATACCATTGATTCTATACAGTTGCCTGTCTGCTACTGAGGGTATTTTTGAATTATTTCTTATAATAAATACCTTAAATTTTGTATGCCTCTTGGCATGTGTCTATTGTTCATGTAGGGCTCAACCCACATCATTTTTTACTCTCTAGCTCCCTCTGCTGCTGAGAGAATAAATCCAACAGACGCATATGCCAAGGGGCACCACTGTTAAGTAAATATAGCTTCAGGTTACTTCTTTGGGGAATATAACATGCTTACCTTACTTACCTGCCGAGCCAAAACCGATTCTCTCTGCTTTCCTTTAACACCAAACCTCCCAGGCAGCTCCATTTCCTCAGTGACTAATCACTTCTTAACCCACTTCTATCCAGTTCTCCATATGTCCCGGGTTCTGCTCCTCTTGGCAATTTCTTTTAAGCAGATTGCCAATTATTTGTCAAGTACAGTGACTTCTCAGTCCTAGCTTCTGTAGGCAGAGGAAAAATGCTTTCCTGTGGTTTATCAGCATGTGCAGTTCTTTTGGCCAACCTTGGAATGAGGGCCTCACAACTCCAGTGCAAAATGCCTGAAGTTATGAAGTGTCACACCCAGCACTAGCATAGCTGTTTTGGAGCCCAGCCTCTCCTTTCTGGTATTGCTCTTAAACTACACCACCACAGCTCCCAGTTTCATGCTCCTTGCACTGACTTTCTCCTTGCCTTCCCCCACCTTTATCAAATGCAGCCCATAAGGTATATGAGAATTCTTTGGCTCTCCCTTAATTTCAGTGACTTCATCTCAAATGAGATACACATAGCCCCATGTAGAGCCTGGCACCAGGACCAGACCCTATGTGTGGGTGGCCTGGGCAGGTAAGAATTTGGCACCCCTTTTAAAAAACATGCTTCGAATATTTATTCAACATGCATTTGGTAGAGATGGGGAAATGGGTTTTTTTTCTATTAGTAAAAATCATGAACCATTAAGTCAACTGTCTATATTCCCTTGTCTAAAAACAAAACTCTAGCAAGAAGTGAGGAAGAGTTTAAAGATGATTGAACAGAAAGATAGGTGGGAATCGGGGCTGGAGGAAGAATGAGAGTTCTCACTGCTCACAGCATTTCTGTCGAACACCCCAGTTCACAAGCTCTTCTCCCAGGCCTCTTGAGCAAGCCTGTCAGCTGCAGGGGCTCCCCTCACTTTCCCCTCCTCAAAGCACCCTATTCTCCCAACCCCTACTCCCTCTGACCCCACCACCACCTCTCTCTCTCTCTCTTTCTCTCTCTCTTGTTCAGCATTGCCCCAACCACATACTCCAAGCTTACAAATCCTCACCTATTACTAAATCCAAACTTCAAGATTATTAAATACCTATTATTCCAAAGATGATACCTTAGGTTGTGCTCACCAAAATATATGTCTTTATGTTTCCAAGATTCTCCCTTCCCAGAAGGTAGTTTCTTGTTATCTTTTGAAATTCATAAATAAGAGCCTTATTCAGTATGCTCATTGAGAGCAGGGCCCATTTTCATTCCTTACGCTGGTAATCTAAGGAACTGCATGTGGAAACCCGAGTTAACTGGCCCCATAGTTCCAGTTATTCCAATGACATTTGGTGCTCCTTGTAAATTAATACCCCACATACCTGTTTAAATGCCCTAACCTTTAGTTCAGTTCAGGCTCGCATGTGGGTGCCTTGTGAATGGCCATGACGATTTTCTTCTCAACAGGAATCGGCTAGTTACTACTGTGGTATACAATGCTGGTTCCCTCTTTTTTTTTTTTTTTTTTTTCTTTTTGTCTTTTTTACTGACTGGTAACGGGATCGCAACCCTCGGTGTCGCGCCCGTGCCAGGGACCGGCAACGGGATCGCAACCCTCGGTGTTGCGCCCGCACCACGCTCAGCCAGTGAGTGGGAACCAGTCTCCACATGGGATCCGAGCCCTCGGCGCATGTGGAGCGCTGCCGCGCTCCCAAGCGGCGCACTCTCCAGTGCACCACCGGGCCGGCCCCTGGTTCCCTCTTGAAGTGCTTCTCAGTCGTCAAGGAGTAGGGGGAAAGGTTTCCCTCCTAGAGTTTCTGAAACTGCACCACTAGGGGGTGCCACCTGTGTGAAGAGAGTTTCCTTTTAGTCTTTCCCTGAACTAGGGCTGGATTTGCATCCTCCTTGTTAGCCCCATAACAATACATAGGGAAATGACCCAAATCCTCGAGAGGAGAAAAGAGCAGTTCTCTGTCACTTTTCCATGTTCATCAAGTCTCCCTCTTCATAATCGAGTATTTCTCAGTTGCTCTGTGAAAAGGGAAAGCCTAAAGAAGCAGCCAAGTGAAGAAGCATCGATTCAGTTGACATTGAGGCCTGAGGAAAATCTGCTAGGCTTGTGATGTCAGGGTAGAACAGTGCACACCACAGACTTCATGATGGCTTCAAATTGAAAGAAAATATGTAGCCATATAGTTCGTGTTCATTTAGCTTGGAGACCATCACTGTAGGAGATGAAGGGAGATACATAGTGGGATACAACAATAACTTTATTTAGCACCTGCTACATACCAGGTACTCTACTAGATTTTTTACATGTGCTATCTCAATCCATCCAACAACTCTATTTGATATGTTATTCCAATTTTACAGGGGAGAAAGCAGACAAAAATTATAACCATCCCAAAGTCTCACAACTGTTCAGAAGAGAAACCATGTTCAACCTACAGATCGGCACATCCTGTTTCTACAAAGATTTAGCTGAACATTTGACATCAGAACTTTGTCTTTTGTGCTCACCTTGGTGTTTTGAAAACTCTGGTTTTCAGAGCTGAGTGGTCGTCTCCAGGCTGCTTTATGCCTAGTGCTTCCTCCTGCTGCAGGTCTATCACCCCAGCTTCTGTCTCCTCAGCCAATGAGTCACTTCTTAAATGACTCATTTTCTTCCTTGTCCTCTAATGTAATTCTGGAATCATAGACCTTCCCAGTGGGAAGGAACCAGGTAGAATTCTCTGAGAAGGGAAGGTTAAAATGGCATGTTGGAGTTCACAACCCCACTAACTGAGAGAGATGGTACCCTGTGTTGAGTGTACTTTTTGCTCTGCTGGGCCAGCTCTGAGGAACACAGATAACCTACATTTAACCAAATCCTAGCAGAAGAGCCAAGACTAGCACCCACGACTCCTACCTAACTCCAAGTACTGGGCATTTTCTAACAAACTTCATTTATTTTAGTTATGATCTGCATCTTAAAAATAACCCCTTCTTGTGCACAGTGCATTACTGTGCCCAGAGCACTTGAGGCTTTTGTCCCCATTTCATATAAACAAACTAGGCTCTGAAAGAGACACCTTCAATAGTTAGTATTACTGAGAACTACTAAAGCACCTGCCATAGATTTTGTAAACTCCACTAATGCTTAAAGCATATTAAGTAGGCTTTAACTCCATTTTATAGATGAAAAATAAGTTCAGGAAGGTTAATTAACACACCGGATTATATATTAGATGATATAGCTAGTACATAGTAGAGCCAGGTTTTTAACAGGAGACTCTGAAGCACCAAAGCTCTGCTTTTTATACTTGGTACTGCGCACTGCCAAGGTTATATGGCTAGTTAGTGGTGGGTTGTGAGCACCGCCTAGGATTTTGACATCTAATCCAGTATTCTGTCCTCTATAATGTGCAGACTCTGAAACACATGTAGACACATGTGCATGCACATACACACACAGTTTTAAACATACTTTAGATATGATTTTGTCCAAATGACTAATTTAGTTTTAAACTTCATGGTTATTTTTGAAAATGCATAGTTTTTACTTTAATGTTTTACCTAAATCTATGAGCACCTTTGCTCACTGAGTGTCATGCTGCATTTCTGACCCCGTGAATGACTGTTGTCCAAAGACTCCAACCTATTAAAAATAGTTAATATTTTGTTTTTTGTTTCAAGTTGCACATGAAGCTCACAGTCAGTTTTTTCTTTTTTTTTTTCCCTTTTTGTCTTTTTTCGTGACCGGTAATGGGATCGCAACTGGTAATGGGATTGCAACCGGTAATGGGATCTCAACCCTCGGTGTCGCGCCTGCACCGTGCTCAACCAGTGAGTGGACCGGTCTCTATATGGGATCCGAACCCTCGCGGGAGCGCGGCGCCACACTCTACCGAGTGCGCCACCGGGCTGGCCCCAGTTTGGGTTTTATTAGAGAACTGAAGTTCAAATTTAACTTCTTTAGAGTCCTGATTTATTACAGGAAAATTCTGGCAGACAGTTTAGACATGGAAAATGACTTCCAATCACAGTCTGGGCTGCATTCATTCTTCCTTAGCTGACTTAGACAGTTGAAGAGTGAGGAGGAGGGACGGGTTATGCTGTCCTTACTGAATTCATGCCGTGTTCCAGATAAGAAGCTGTGTTCCTCGCCCAAGATGATGCTGTGACCCTGGCTTTGCCTTCTGGCTGAACACACTGCTAAGCACAGAGAAAGCTTCAACCCGAGCTCTAAGAACCCACTGCCTTAAAGCGCTCGTTCACTTGGCATTTCCCCTTGGGTTCTTCGGGATGCTCCCATCGAGATGTGTGGCATGTCAGGCCCACCACAATTCACCCAGCTCAGCTGTCTCCAAGGCCCACTCACACAGTGGGACTGCAGCTCTCAAGGTCCCCCTGCCCCTCCACTGAGCCTGCTACTGGAAGGAAGATGACTTACCAAGTGACTTTGCCAGGATTCTGCACAATAACATCAGCTGTCTTTTCTTCTAGAAGATGAAAGAAATTGGCCCTTCTCCCTTTTTCTTTTTTTCTGGTGGTGAGTGTGATTCCTCCAGCCTAGCAGAGTATCCACAGAGAATGTTTTGCAAGGCTGGAAGTGAGCCAAATGGCTTGGGTGTTGTCTCAGATAACCAGTGAGGGCCCCAGCAGAGCTGATAACTGGAAGGGCCTGGGGAAATGATCGTGCTTCTCAGGATGAGCCATGGCTCAGGGAATTTGGAGATGTTGAAGATACTGGAGGCTGTCTAACAGAGGAAAAGAAAATGGGGTTCTTGTAGCTTCTGGGCTTCAGTGCCAGCCCTTGGAATCTTGCCATTTCCATTGCGATCTGCCATATATCTGTGTGCACAGGGTCCCGCCTAACTGAGCCTAGGCAGCAAGTTGGCCTAAATGTTCCCCAGGGCGCCTTCCAATTCCAATATTCTGATCTATGTAAAATACTGAGTGAATAAGAATTGTTGGTCAGGGTTAAAGCTGAGTAATTTTCTTAAGCACTTGAGTATGTCATTTCTTTTTTCAGCTTTTGAAATGATTCAATTTTATGACACATGAACAAGACTTTTATTCACTAAAGAACTTAAAGCATAACAGCAAGTGAAAGTGGGTAGAATTATCTTAAAGGGCTGTTCTGCAGTGCCTCCCCGTCAGATGAGCCAGAGCTACAGTAAAGAGAAGCTATTTAGGGCAGCACAGATAGGAACGTTCCCAGCAGGGCCTTCACGATGCTCAGGTTACAGTTCCCAGTAAGGAGAAATGTCCTGAGGTTGTACAGATAAAATGTGACCTGTGAGGTACTTGGCCCTCTTGGGCTTTAAAGCCAAAGCTTGAAAGCTGAGGCTGACCCTTTACCATTGGCATCCAGCCAGAGTGTGACCTGGGGCAAATAGATACCTGCCAGTTCTAAGTTCTCAAGTTTCTGTTCCATGGGGCTCTGGGCCTGAGTGTCAGGTCAACTAACAGGCTCCGGTTGGAGAGACATACTTCTAGGCTTGGATGTGCTGAGAGGTGTCGGCTTCTGCCTGGACCAAGGGGGCAGCCCCACCCAGTTGCCAGCTCCACGGACAGACTGTGAACCCATCAGGCTCACCTGATATGCAGGGGCCATCTGGAGCTGTGTGCTGTGCACCTCCTCTGTGCTCCATGCCCAGCCCTGGACTGCTCCAGGCCTAGGCGTAGACTCTGCTGTATCTGGAAGAAGAAGAGGAAAGGCTGTTGTTCTGGAAAGAGCCAGCTGTCATCGGGTGGCCTGGCAAGCACTCGTCTACAATGTGGGTTGGAGTCCTGTTTTCACCAGTAACTCTTCAGTAACCTTATATCTCTGAGCCTCAGTTTCCTCTTCTGTAAAATGTAAACTTTACAAATATTTTGTGCTTGCTACTACCCAAGTGCTACCTTAAGTATTGAGGACACAGTGGAGGACAGTGGGGACAAGAAGGGCCTTGCCCTCATAGAAACAAACTCCACAAGGTCTTAGGAAGATTCCATGAGATAATGTATGCTTAGCATCTTGTTTGACCCAAGTGGGTGCTCACTACGTGTTAGTTCTAGTAAGTTTTCCTCCAAAGATGGTTGAAAATCTTTAAAAGCATGCCCTTTCCCACCTTGGTCTGTGCACGTGCATTTCTCTCTGCCTAGAAGGCTCTTCCGCTCCCTTGGCCTAGCTAACTCCCGTCCATTTGGTTCTCAGTATCAATGATCACTTCCTCAAGGTAGCACTTCCCAGACCAAGTCCAAGTTTAGGTCCCCCAGTTGTGCATTCCCATGGCAACTGGCACTATAATTTGAGGTATTCATTATTTTGGTACCTACTACTTGTTTAATCTGTTTTCCTGACTAGATTTTAAACTTGGTGTAGACAGCATCCATGTGTACCTGAAGTCTCAGTGCCCAGCTTTGAGATTCTCCATAAATATCTGACCAGCTGACTGGCTCACATTTGAAGGGCTGTTCCTCTCTGAATGAATGAGATAATTGCACTGGACCAGAAAAAAGAATCTGGCCCACCAGGAATGCACAGGTCCTTTCTTTCTTCCTTCTTTTCTCTCTCCTACCATGAAGAGAAGGGATGGCCAAGTCAGGGTACAAAGGATGGCACATTTGGTTCCCCAGTGTTAACAGCACTTGCCCAGCACCCACTCAGGGGCCGGCCTGCTGAGAACAGGACAGCCAGGGTCTTCTCTGATACCGTGTACCACAGTCACATCCTCGTCTGCTCTCCCCACCAGCCAGGGGGCATGACTGAAAGGAGGAGGTCTTGTCTCTGGGAACCATAGATAGTAAAAGCTTGAAAAACATGAAAGCCAAGGCCATAAGACTGGAATGATATCAGCAGCAAAAATGTAACCATGTTGATGTTTCACTCTGTCACCCCGTGAGAAAGAGGCCCCCAGCATCAGTACCTTGAGGATGAGATCTTGGCAAACACACAGCCATTTAAATGTGACTCCCTGGAAATGTGAATGTTTTTGCCCTTTTGTGCCCTGTGGGATTTAACAAAGCAGCAATGTGACCTGACCCCAGTGATTTTCCTTTGGCCAAAATTCAGAGCTGCACGTCCCCCGTCATTCCTGCAAGTCCACCATATGAAACTAGTCCTTGATGCCAACCCTTTCCATCCTTCATGTCTTTGCTCAGGCTGTTCCTTCAGCCAGAAGTCCCTTCCTTCCTTATATAAATATCTGTCAAATCTCAATACATTCTTCAAGACTAAGATGAACTATCACTTTACCTGTAACGCCTCTGACCACTTGCCTTCCTCTAAATTGGAGTTAGGTGCTTTTAATCATAACCCTTATGGGAACATAGCAAGGTTAGTTTTGGATTTTTCTCTTCACTAAACTGACAAAAACCAAATCTTATTCATATTTTTACCCCCTTCAACTAGTATAGTGCCTAGCACATTGTAGGTGCAGAACAAATGAAAGGCAGAAATCCCAGGATTGGCAAGGTGTGTCCTGGACAGTGGGTCAGCCAGAATGCCCAAGGGCAAGTGCATGTGCCAAAAACTACTAGCAGGTACTTTTATGGACAGACTGTTGAAACAATGAGAAGCCACTCAAGACTTGTGGGCAAGGAAATGGCATGAGGAAGGAGGAATTTGGGTACATTCTTTGTAGGCATAGTGGGGTATGATGAGGTTAAAGGAAAAAAGTCTTAAACCTATTCTATAGATGAGGAAACTGAGACTTGGGAAAATTAAGTGATTTGGCAAAGGCACACAGCTAATAAGTAAAGGAATCTAGCTTAGAATCCAGATCTAATTTCAGAGTTTGTGTTCTTAAATACTGTGCAAAAACTCAGTCAGATCTGCAAACACCACATGGAATTAGGATCCTTTAGATCTTCAAAGAACGCTCTCCTGGCTGTGTTAAGTTTGACTCCAGAATGTCACTAAACCTCACTGTGCCTCAGTTTCCTCTTCAGTAAAATGAGGAACGTTGAGCTAGCGTGACTGTAAGGCCACTTTTAGGCTCTGAGATGCTGAGTCCCTATAGAATACAAATGGACTTCCTAACCCGGAATTCAACTCAGTCAAAACTAAGTGCACTTGTATATTGGCCGTGGAAAACTTTCATGGGTTGCAATCATGACTCCAACACATAACAAAGTTATGAAATATTATCTCAGAGGTCTAATTGTTCTTCCCTTTTTTTTTTTTTTTTTTTTTTTT